GGTGATGGGGTAGAGCCATAACCTCCCCATTGGCCCTGCCCTGAGTGTGACAGTGGTGCGGCACCCCAACTCCCTGATTGGCCCTGCACTGTGGGTGACTGGAGGCAGTGCCCCAACTCCCCTATTGGCCCTGCTCTGTGCATGACAGGGGAGAGCTCCCCGACCCCCTGATCGACCCTGCTCTTTGCATGACAGAGTACGGAGCCCCAACCCCCCTGATGGGCCCTGCTCTGTAACAGAGGGCAGCTCCCCAAACCCCCTGATGGGCCCTGCTCTGTGAGTAACAGGGAGCAGCTCCCCAACCCTCTGAATGGCACTGCTCTGTGCATGACGGGGGGTGTCACCGCAACCTCCCCATCAACCCTGCCTTGAGTGTGACAGGGGGCGGTGCCCCAACCCCCCAGTCGGCCCTACCCTGAGCATGACGTGGGGTGGCATCGCAACCTCCGGATCCGCTCTGCTCTGTGCATGACAGGGGGTGGCGCCCCAACTCCCCGAACAGCCCTGCTCTGAGCCTGACCAGGGGCTGCACCTAGGGATTGGGCCTGCCCTCTGCCACCTGGGAGCAGGCCTAAGCCAGCAGGTCATTACCTCCCGAGGGGTCCCAGACTGCGAGAGTGCACAGGCCGGGCTGAGGGACTGCCCTTCCCCCCCGAGTGCACAAATTTTTGTGCACCGGGCCTCTAGTAAATTAATATTCACTTATGCAAACTTAATGGCAACAAATAAAACACATACATATGCTACATACTCCTGGGATCCTCTGTTTTTTGCTTTCAAATACAACTGAACAAAAGTTGTATCCATACACTTTTCTTATAGTTCAGCAACACTATAACTGCCTTTTAAAAATGTTTTCAGTAGATAAGCATAAATAAGAAAATTATAATTTTGACTTTAATTCACTGCTTTTGTTGGATTAAGACCCAAAATGGAATGATATTATAACATTTTTATATCACATATGATGACAGTAATGGGGAAAAATCTGCCTTTAAGTAAAAGGTCTTAAAATAAGAAACACATATATCAATGCAATAACCTGGTCATTTAATCTTATTGTCAGGGGGCGGAGGGGAAGGTGAGAAAAATGAGAGAACAAATGTATTTTATTTTTTTGAATACAACCATTTTTTAAACAAAAGTCCATATAATGAGTAACAAATCTTTATATTTAACAATAGTGAAGCAGTATGAACTGTAAAATTGCTCTTCTCTCTGGCTATTCCTAGATATCTTGTGTGTGTTGGTTTAATCTAATATGTATTGTTGCAAGTGTCCCCAGGCACAGTCGAGTAAAAGCTAAGGCTGTACAGAAGAGCCTACATTTTAAATGGGTCTTGTCATTAATGCTTTATTAATTGCCCCAGGCTACATAAACCCAACACAGGGCAAGCTATAACAATATGACACATTAAGGACAAATCCAATTCCTGTTGTGTTTTATGGAATGGGCCAAAAATTGAGTTAACAGCAGGAAAGTCAATTTATGAGCTTTTCTTTCCACCTCCAGATTATTCTATCTAAATTAGTAGGAATTTTTTGAAATAATGAAAGTACCTTAACTGAATAATATAATATAAAAGAATCCTGAATCATTTTCTATGAATCTCAAAATTATTTCCTATTAGGATAGATGTACTACATAATTTAAAAACATTATGAAACAAAGCTGCAGTATACAATGCCTTATATTCCCACTTAAATTTAAAAATTAGAATTTCAACATACTTTTTATCCTTACCTGAGTATATGTTTATTGATTTGAGAGAGAGAGAGGAAAAGAGGAAAGTGGGGAGGGAAAGGGAGAGAGAAAGAGAAACATTGATGTGAGAGAAAAACATCCACTGGTTGCCTCTTGTACACTCCTGGACCAGGGATGGAACCCACAATCTAGGTATGTGCCCTTACCAGGAATCCAACCAACAACAAACTTTTGGTGTACTGGATGACACTCCAACCAACTGAGCCACCGGACAGGGCTCAACATACGTATAACTTAAATTAACATCAACATATATAAGAGCCTACCTTTACATCAGAAGTATCTCTCTGGCTAGTTCTCCAAGACCTTGCAACTGATGAGAAGGTTCGATTTGGATGGTCAAATTTTCCATCATTTGCATTAAGGAAGAAGGTTGTGAAAGGTTCCTAAGCAAAAAGAAAACAAAAAAGACAAAAGACAAAATTTGACCCTCAGTCCTTTGTAAAATATGACTCTCTTTTCTTTTTCTTTTTTTCTGTTATTTCTCACCTGAGGATATTTTTTCATTGGTTTTCTAAAGAGAGTGGAAGTAAAGGAGTAAAGAGAAGAGAAACATTGATTGGTTGCCTCCAGCACATGCTCCCCCGCGTGGCCAGGAATCAAATTGCAACCAGTTATGTGCCTTTGACCAGGAATCAAACTGGAGACTCTTCAGCTTGCAGGCCGATGTTCCAACACATTGAGCCACACCAACCAGGGCAAAATATAACTTTTTTTGAAACCCCTCTTGAGGTGGAAATAGTGTAGGGTCCTGGAAAGATGACCACTCCAAGGAATCAGCAGGTGCTGGTCTGGGCTTGACTAGGTCAGTCAATGTCATTCTGCAACCTTGGTAGGTCATTTTGCCTTTTGGGCTTCAGCCTCCTGATCTATAAACTGATGAAGTTATAGTGCTATGTGATTTTATAAGTGATTTTGCACTACTGGCATTTACAACTAAGATTTTCTTCCTCACAGCTAAGGTCATACGTAGTAACATTGCAAGAAAATCATCCTGACACTTGTTCATGGCAATATGGAATTAGGTAGGGAACATCCATCTTGGATTACCCATCAAAGTCAACTCATATACTCCTACCACATTATGGTCTGATGATCATTTTAAAATACCAACTCCCTGCTTGAAGTCCTCCCATATCTTTTCAGAGCTCTTAGGAAAAACTATGAACTACTTAATTTGTCCTAGCTTTCTGTGACATGTCTACAATGACAATGTCTGTCACGCAAAACATGTTCACAGAGTTGGAAACCAAGAAATAACTTTACCATAAGGTCCTAATGTATTTAATATTAATGATTTTTCTGTAGTTGTGTTGGGAGAGGCATTATTGCTGATGTCATTAAATTTGCTTACAAATTTAAAGGGATTAAATAACTTCCATTCTTACTAAGGATTTCTTAGCTATCTATAACAAAGATAAATATATATTTTCTTTTTCATGTTCAATTTTTCACTGAAGTCTAGGATGAATGATGTCACTTCTAGGTTCAATAATGCTAAGAAATCTTTTCTAAATATTTAGGGTTTTTCTTTAATATATACTAGTAATCTCTTCATTCTTCTATATCCATAAAACATTATTTTGCCCCTTTCAAGTCCCATTTTTGCTATTAGCCATAAAGTCCAGCTGTCTGGCAACAGCTACAAATATTTATCTTCTTCAGTACCTTCCTATAATTTAGTGTGGTTAGATGTCATCAACTTTATAAATTTGTAATGTATCACCAATATTTCATGTTCACTGTTGAATGACAGAAAAACATCATGAAAGAGAAAAGATGTAGAATGATAGATGTAACAATGTATAGGTAAAGGGGGTGAAAATCAGATATACATCCTGGAATTCCATATTACTGTTTAAGATTTCAAGTGATATGAGAGACAAATAGATATCACCAACATTAACTTAGGAAAAAATTATGAGATTTCTTTCACTAATTAATTTGCTTTTTAGAGTTTTAACTCACTATTAAATACAAGGTAGTTAATGCAGTGTATCTTATCGCTAAATTAAATTAAAGTGAGAATATTAAAATTCTATACATAGCAATAGTAAATTGAATAAAATGTGACAAATCTAAGTTTGAATCTGGTGGAACCATTTACCTCTCTTAGACAAGTTACTTAATCTCAAGTAGTTGTATTAAGCATCTTTGTTCCTTCATCAGTATTAACTTGGAATGACAATACCTTAGGGGTAATTAAATAAGATTAAATAATATTGAGAAAGCTTGGCATATCTTACCTGACACAGAGTTATAAAATGACTACCAGCTTTATGTACTGTGTCAAGTATTCACTGCTGGGCTCAGCCCCAGAATGCCTATTCCTTAGACAACTCTTCCAGATTCAGATTTTTAGTTCCTTAGGTCTTACTCATCTTTGAATCCTTAGTTCCCAGCACAAACTTGGCTCATAGTTAGTGTCGAATACATGTTTGTTGAGCACACCTAAACAAAGATAGTGTTGGAAGATGGGGAATGGCTGGGTAAGAATAAGATATAGTTATCCTTGTTAGTTCTTAACCACTAGTTTGACCAAAAAGTTGAATGTTCAGAATCTACTTCATTATTCTAGGATGCTGATTTTTATTTTTTCCACTTTAGATAGTAGATAGAGATTAGTCTAGAGGGGTCTTATTTCAGTGATATTTTTAAAATATATTTTTATTGATTTCAGAGAGAAAGGGAGAGGGAGAGATAAAAATATCAATGATGAGAGAGAATCATTGATCGGCTGCCTCCTGCATGCCCCCTATTTGGGGGGGGGCGGGGGGTGACAATCCTGTAACTCAGGCATATGCACTGATCTGGAATCTAACTAGTACTAGTAATTGCTGGGTTCCTGGGTCAACACTCAACCACTGACATAACCTAGTAAATAGTTGTGAGCAAAGTCCCATTTATACATGTAAAGCCTTACTTCTTATCATCAACCATTAAAAGCTGATCTCTACCACAACCTAAATGATCCTTCCTGGTTTTTAACCCTTAACAAAGACCTGCCAAGAATAGCACATATGGGAATAGTGAAAAGAAATCAGAAATTGAAGAATTATTTTTATTTTTGGTTTTGAAGTTTATGGATCTAGTGGCTCCTAAAAGCAGAGAACACTAAAGAATTCTGTTTCATTGTTTTAAGTAGCTTTTAAGATTTGATTAACAGCTGTTTTAGGGTCACAGACTACATGACATATAATTCTCATTATTCCTGAAGGCCTCCAGCTGCTACATTGGTAGAGTGTACACTAATAGAAATTGATAACCTATTTGTTTAAGAGTGAGTATTGATTTCTCAAGCTCTGATTGCCACAGAGAACCTTTTTCCATGTGTTTCCCTATTACCTTCCTAGCACAGTGTAAGGCTTTTCTTTTTTATTTGACTCGTGCTTAACTAAGGTAGAGGATCAAATGCTATATTAAGCTTAAGGAACTTTTTGCTTCTTTGCCTAACATATGCTGATTGAACTATTTTCTAGATATTTTGTTATTACACTAAAAAAGCTTTTGGCTTAAGAAATCAAATGTACAAATGAATGAATATTGAATGGAAATTTCAGATATTAAAATATTGGCACATGTTGGGCTTTAAAAACTTTAGGATAATCCTGTGATATCAATGGCTGATGGCAGACTTCCTTCTCCTAATTACATTTACCCCAAGGTCATTTCATATCTTCTAAACCCTTTTCAGTGTTGCAAAATAAAATTAACCTTTTTTGCACTGGTAAGTACCTGTCCTACTAAATTCTATCATAACCTTTAGTCCCCTGCAAAGGCACTAACAACTTTCCTGCCTTTCAATGGTTACAGACCATAATTCCATCCTGAGCAATATTACTCTGTTCCCTGCTCTTCTTCTCTTTAGCCAACTTGTTTATTCGTTTCACTTAGATTTTTGCTCACTCATCTCATAAGAATCTTTTCTTAAGTCCCTCTCTCCTTGTTCTTTTCTTCTTTCCTTCACTTCATTTTATTTTAAACAAAGCCCATTTATGGGTAATAGGTAGAGTTTGGGATATAACTATATCAAAGAAAATATGTATATATCTATATCTATATTTTTTATTCCTCACCCCAGGATATTTCTCCATTGACTTTTAGAGAGAGTGGAAGGGAGGAGAAGAGACAGAGAGAAAGAAACATCAATGTGAGAGAGATGCATTGATTGGTTGCCTCCCACACATGCCCTGATCACTCTGGGGGATGGAGCCTGCAACCAAGGTATGTGCCCTTGATCTGAATTGAACCTGGGACCCTTCAGTCCGGAGGCTGATTCTCTATCCACTGAGACAAACTGGTTAGGGCAAAAAGATGTATATTTTGAATTGGTACGAAACATAATAAATACTAAAAGGAAGGGAACTAAGAGTTACTGAGCACCTTTCTGTGCTTGGCACTATAGTATCTCAGTTAATTCAATCCTATTATCCTTAAGAGTAGGAATAATTATTCTTGTTTTATGTTTGAGAAAGTTCAAGATCACATTCTGGGAAATGGAGGAACCATTATTTCCACTCTGCTTTATTTAACTTCGGAAGTTTATTTTCTCACATCACTTTGGAAAGAACCCAGAAGTATCTCAGAATCTCTAAGTCCTATTAGTAAACCTGTACACCATGCTCTTGATTAAGAATTCCTCATCTTTTTCTAAGTAAACATGCAATGTACTTAGCATCAGTATTCAAGGTAAACGTAACAGTATTTAACTCAGTAGCATTATCTTTTGTTTTTAATTACAGCATTTGCAAAAGTGTTTCTATTATGTTTTTCACTAAAAATATATATTTTTAAAAATATAATATGATTTATGCTCATCTGGTGTGACGCAGTGGTTGCACATTGACTCATGAATCCGGAGGTCAAGGTTTGATTCCCTGTCAGGCACATGCCCGGGTTGTAGGTTGGATCCTAGTAGGGGGAGTGCAGGAGACAGCTGATGGATGTTGATGTTTCTTTCTCATCGATGTTTCTATCTCTCTCTCCTTCTCTCTCTAAAATCAATAAAAACATATTTATTAAAAAATATATTATGGTTTAAACAGACTCTTGGGTAAGTTTTCAAAGCAACTTACAATTTATAAAGGAAATCCCAAATTTTAAACAATTGATTTATAAGTTAACTCTCATTGCAAAATCTATGTAATTTCCTAAAAATTATGATTAAATGTTTGACAAATGAGTTTTGAACAGACTGATTGAATATATTGAATTCAGAAGGTACATTGATTATTAAGGTCAGAGAATAAAATTTAATAATTTCTATATACACTATATGTTCACGGTAAGATATAAAGTGAAAACATTCTAAGTAAAATGTGTCCTTTTTTACTACTGAATATCAAGACACTCCAAACTCTGCGAAAATAGTTTATTCATCATTTTCCCAATGATGCAAGAAAAGGAGTCTTCCAGAGTCATGAATTTAGACAAGTGACTTCTCTGATAGTTCGTCTATAATATTTTTAATTTAAAGTAATGTGTTATGAAGTTAATTAGGATTTTAAATTATTATCATTTTCATACTAAATATGCTGACTGAAACTAACAATGACTTTAATTACTTTGGGCCTAAAATGATTGAAAGGTAAAGGTATTGCAGATACTTTAACTGGTATTTTGTTTTTAAGGACAAATTTTTAGTAACATGAATTTTAATGAATTTTCTACTTCATAAACTATTAAGATTGGAGTGAGGAAATCACAATTCCTTGGGCCATTAGGTTAAAGACTTGGTAAGTTTAGACCATGATACTTCTATTTATAACAGCACAACACAGGTTGTGTTGGCTAAATGAGTCCCCATAAAAGCAATCCTATAGATCTTTACTGTCCACTACTGTAGCCACCAGCCACATGTAACTACTGAGTACTTGAAATACAGCTATTTAGAACTGAACTATGAATATGAAATAAATTATGGATTTCAAGGACTTCACAAAAGAAGTAAAATATCTCATTAATAATTTTTTATTGGTTAAATATTGAAATTATGACATTTTAACACTTTGGATATATTGGGCTAATAAATATATCTATTAAAATTAATTTAACCTGTTTCTTTTTACTCTTAAATGTGGCTACTAGAAATTTTAAATTACATAGTGGTTTGCATTATGTTTCTCTCTTTAGCACAACTATGGGTAGTACTAAAAGGGCATGTATAGAATATACATGTGTATAGCATTTCTGCCATACCCTTGCACGAATTCAAATTTGTACTCCATTAGGTTAAATTATGATTTTTTATTTGAGAACGTGTTTAGTTTATCAGGAATAAAAGAGTATAAACTGAAATCAAGCTGTTGATAATAAGTACCTTTATGGATTCACACAAGGCTTATAAATCTGACTTCATACTAATTTGATTACACAAAAACACTGAATTTCGCTTTATGTATTTCAAAGTACTATCATATATGGGGTATTTTAATATTTAATATACATATTAATATATATTCTTATTTATTTCTCAGAACACCCTCCTTGATAATGTTTTTTCACAAATGGTTCCTGACTTTTTTTTTAATCCCCAAAATACCTGAGAGCAGTGTCTTACTACCCCCATGGCAAGTGGTTCAGTATAGCAATAAATGTCCTTGAAGGGACAGGAGGTGATATGAAAAAGCCTCTCAGGTTGAGTATCTCTGGTTTTCATGCTTTCTAAAAATTTCCTTCTCTAACAGTTTTGGAAGTCCCTCTTCAAGTTACACATGCACTACCTCGATGAAGTCAAATAGACTGTGCAGCTTAGAATATCTCTTGGGCTCCTTAAGCCCAACTATGTTTTTCCTTGGCTTCCAGAGTGAATCCTAAACAGCAAACAGAACTTTAGCTTTTTCTCTATTTTTTTTTAACATCCTTTGCTGATATTTTGTTATAACATTTACAACATACACATTTAATAAGTCATTTCCCACTAATGGCAGTAATGTTTGCGTTTGGTTTTATGGCCTGACCACCTGGTGGTCAGAGGATTTAATTTATTAGTCATTTTGTTTTCTTGTTTGCCTATTTGAGAGCCTACATTAAATAAGAATATATTTATGTCCACTATAAAGGACACCAGCTCTTGAAGATCTTGACTGGCAAATTTTTGTGCTTCTGTGTTTAGTTTTAACATGTGGCTGAAAGTGCAGTATAGGAACCATAATTTATCTCTATATATTTGTGTCTGTAATTCAAAAAAGCCTTTACTTCTTCTGTGTGTGTGAAGTATTTTCCTATGTGTGGAGATTATTAATAAATTATTATAACCCATAAGCTAAAGGTGTTCTGTTCTGATTGACTTATAGTGGTAAGAGGCATTTACATAAATCTAATATTCCCCAGAAAATAAAGAAATAGAACTTCTTATACTTAAGAAGTGCTAGAGTAAAAAAAAAATATTTCTTAAGAAACTGCTAGCTCTGAAATATTCATGTAAAAAAAACACAAGTTCACATAATTAAGCTGAATTTTTTTTTTAACAATTTAGACAACCAACTTTGATCTATAAAAAGAGTGTTGTGTTTTCCTTTAGTTTATAATTACAGAGTTTATTTTTTAAAATAAGATTTGGGTTTGTTTTCTTATAAACTAGTTAATCTAAACTTCTTAAACTTCTTATGCTGGTTTAGGATTATGAAAAGTAAAAAACTTGTGTTCAATTAAATAGATTCATAATTCCAACAAACTTTTTTTAACAGAAATTGTTTGTGGTATATCACTTATCAGTGACTTACAAGTTACTAAAAACATAGTTATATCATGTATTTGTAGTAAGCTCAATTTCTCCTCAATATGTAGAGAATGCTTGAGGAAGACCACCAAATTAAAGCTGTCATTTAGGCTGAAGGCCAAAAAAAATCTTTGAAAATAGGAGATGCATTGCCAAATATGCATGTTTTCAAGTATACTACTTTAGCATGTGTTTCTATAGCAAATCAGCTTCATGCAACAAAGTGGTCTGAAGTACATTTTGGTAAGGAGAAAAAAACTATTGATTGCATTGATTTAGAGATTTGATTAGAATACTCCTCAGTTACTTATGGTAAAAAAAAATAAAATAAAAATCAGATCATCTGATTCCAATAACTGCTCTTACCTAGACTAGACTGAAGAAGGCAATACTAAAGACAAAGAGATTGGTTAAGAGTTTTTGCAATAATCTAGATGAAAAATAATGGGAACCTGCACTAAGGAAATGCCAGAGTTAATAAAGAAGATAGATTGCAGGGATATTTAGTTGGTAGATCCTATCTGTTGTGATACCTGATTAGATATAAGGGAATGCTAAAACAGGGGAAAATATCTAAATTGGATAACTGGGTGCCATTTATTTAGATAAAAAATACAGCAGGAACCACATCAGGTTTGTCAGGGAGATGAGGAATCCATTTTTGGAAATGGTGTTTATGGTCTTGTAGAGGGGGCTTGAAGGAGACAATCAATTAATTACATAAAAGAGACTTGAATATATTTAAATCTTAAAAGAAAGAGAAAGTAAAAACAAAACAAAGTCTTCAAAAGATTTAAAAACTGTTTTTAAAAGTTGCCCAAGAAGGAAGAGTGTCAGTTTGTGACAATCAGTGAGAAAGGAAACAGTGTGTTTTAAAGATGCACTCCAGAAGTTTGATCCCTTTATAACTGGTTCATAATTATGCATCTTTTTAACCCAATTTTGCAAATGAGACACCTCATTAAAAAAAAAAAAAAGGGCTTCAGGTTTTGCTAGAGTCTGGGATTCCTCATTTCACTGGTCTCTAATCTTTGTTTAAAACAAATAACTAATATATTTGATTTTTATTCAATTTACTTACATAAAAACCTTTGAGGAATTAGAGGCAAGTTGTAATGTAATGAAGATACTCACAATTCGAACAAGCCAGGATAAGGTAGATGTTGCTGTTGAATAATGTGTATTATAATGGTAGGGTGGGCTTTGATCATCTTCCCATGTCTCATAACGCTCTGCATAAAACACAGCTCTCTTTGGGTTCAAAGCACCAATTGGCTATAAAAAGATAAAAAGAAGCATTTTGTTTAATGCAGTCATATTAAACATTCTATATATCTTTGTCCTGAAAGTATGTTAATTTATTTTAATCATAGAGCAAAAATAAATGATTTTATATTATATTTTTACCAACTGTAATTTTTTTAATCCTCCCTCGAGGATATTTTTTCCATTGATTTTTAGAGAGAGTGGAAGGGAGGAGGAGAAAAAAAGAGAGACATTGAGGTGAAAGAGACAATTTGCTATTTGAAATCATGCCCCTGACCAGAGCTGGGGATCAAACCTGCAACCCTTAACGGGTAATCAAACCCAAGACCCTTTGGTCCTTGGGCCAATGCTTTAAACAATGAGCCAAACAGGTCATGGCACCAAATTTAATTTTGATATTAATTATAAATCATTACACTTGCTAAAAATACTCCAAAAGATATTTACCTGCCTACTTAAAAACTACAATGAGTTAGCTTGATCATAGGAAATCCAATGAGAAAGTGATGCAGTTCACCATGTTAGCGAAAACTTTGTCTTAGCCTGTCACCCAGAGTGTGAGAGACAATATCACCTATATAGAAACCTTGTCGGAATGCTAGTCCCATTCTGTTACACAGAAGAAGCATGTATCTTTTTTACTAACTTAAACTGCAAACTTAAGACTGTTGGAAATAATTCAGACAGTTCAGATTCCTTGGAAAGCATTTTGGTAAGGCCACTCAGACCTTTTCTGTTGTTTGTGGGGTTAAAAAAAAAAAATATATATAAAAACCAGCCAGGGTGACTGAAACCTTTTCTATCAGTACCATGGCACTACTGATTATGATGTTAATCCTTATAGTGGAGCACATAGTAAAATTCTCAGGATACAATATATAATTTTCTTTCAACAAAACATGTTTTTATTAGATCACTGTCTCAAATTTCTTAGCATACCTAATCATTAAGAATTTTTAGCATAGAGTCCCCATGATTTCGAATAGCAAACTGCCTTAACTTAAGTTTTTGTCTAATTTTAGTTTAATGGGATATGGAGTCCACTCCTATGATATCTAATTGCTACATTATTTTATTTTAGGTTGCATACTCTAAAAATAAATGTTTATAGAGAAAACAATAAATAAATACTAGGTATAATGTATAAATCCTTTATTTCAAAATTTAATTTTACTAGTTAATTATGCAGTTCCCCTGAAGGCTTAATTTTAACAAGAGAAGTAGTAGAAAATTAGTGTCTCAATGGAACAAATAATGCTACACAAGAGAGAAATATTCATTTATAAAAAGCTTGTAAGCTTTTTCTTTTGGTCTTTGGGAAATAATCCAAACAAAACAATGTTGTCAGCAGTTAGAATCTCTTAGGATTTCCGTAATAAACTCTTAGCAAGGATTTTTATTCTGAATGTTAAAATTATCTGTAAATTATGTTCATTTTTCTTTAACTTAATTAGGACCTAAAAGATAAAACAATTTAATAATTTACTTTTAAAAACTTTGGTTTAAATGTAGTTTTTAAATGTTCTAAAGATCAAACTTTATTGTGCTAAATCTCACTGGTACCCTTCAAATCTTTTTATTCAGCTGTACAAAGGCAATGCAATTTCATTAAATGTTACATAAAATATTAATAATATTTAAAACAAATATATAATTACTTTTTTCAATAAAAAGTAATTTCTATAGTGGAATAATGTGAGTTCTGTTATAATTTAGCAATAGAAATACTAAACATTTAAATACATTTAAAATGGCCTACATATTTTATTCTTTCTTAGGTGTGCAGATATCTGTTTCCTTTAACTTAATATTATATTTTTCAAAGCATTTAATATGGTTAATGCTTTCTTCTGTCTTGAATATGCTATCAGACTTTTCATAGAAATAACATGTCTGCACAGTCCTTTAAGGATTGACCTTATCTGACATTGTTTGTTCCACCAGACCTCACAAGAAATTCTTGGAAAAGGAACATGGTCCTTACTCTAATCTTTTCCAGCCTTCTCCTCAACTACTGGAAAAGGTATAAAGTAAAAATTATGCCTTTTATTTTACTGAAGTCTCATCAAATTCTCTTATTGGAGTGTTTTACACAATAATACTTTGTAGATAATAGCTGCAGAGTATTACAGTCTGTATAGGCCTTCATTAATAACTGCTTAAAATAAATTTCTAATTTTGCATTTCTTATCTAATGCATTTAAAAATGAACTTAAAAAACAAAATGTAAATGATTTGGTTTTTACTTATTATTTTGCTTTTGCTAATCAAGAACCAGTAAATCATCCCAAAGAAAAATGCTTCAAAATGTCTGTTTGGGAAATGAGAATTCATCACAAGTAACTTATTTTCTTATAGAATCCATATAGACCTATCTATTTGTCTATCTATCTATCTATCATCTACCTACCTACCACTTTACCTATGTATACATTTATAAGGTTGTAAGTTTGTTAACCTTTTAAAATTTGAGTACACACATTTGTATTTAGAAACTGAATAAGGCAAGAATTCTTGTGAAAACTAAAACTACTCTAAATGAAATATATAAATTTAGTTTTCAACCCTTTTCAATTTTTATCATAATTACCAGTTTCCTTTTCTCTCAAACAGGAGGCATCTAGACCCAGTCACCTCTATGCTTTTTAGGTGTTTCTATATGAAAAGGTTTAATTGAAAGTTTAGATCTGCTACTAGATTTATTATTATTTTGTCCTTGTGAGTTTATATGCTATAAATTGATACTGTAACAGATAAAAAATAATGCAAGTAACAATGCAAAAATTAAAAATAGCATGTCTATCTCTTTAACACTTTATTATTTTAATTCAATTTCTAAAACTGTTATAAAGTCTACGTAGCTTGCTAAAGCACTATTTTCAATATAAAATTAGTAGAACATTATATATGTAACATTACCATATCCACATAAAACACTATTGAATTTATTGAAGAAATGATATTTAGGATTTTATTACTCAATTCCTTCTTTTTGAATGTAATAGAGATAAATCTGTCTTAGCTTTAAGTGCCACAAAAAAACTTTGAGACAATGCTGTGATTTTATTATATGGAACAAAAATCCTGACAGATGCTCATGGAGATTAACATTATTAAGGGCTCTGAGAAATATTGTAATCTTATTATTTAATTTTGTTCACTCCTGTGTCTGTCTAACTACCTACCTACCTATCTATCTTAAAACCTTATCTTTCTTTTTTATTTCATAACTGTTAACATGCAAAAGGACTAGTGTTGCTTGGAAAGTAGTTTGAAAAATTCTGGTTATAATCCTTAAGAAATACATACACACACTTTGAATCATTATAAAGGCAGTGTTTATTAAAATAAATTTCATTTTCAAAATTGAAGTATCTGCTGTTAAAGTGTGTATACATTTTCTTGAGGCACCCCGTATTTATGAGGGTTAACGTTTTGATTTCATTTTATTATTTTCTTTCCATTTCTGTATTTTAATCTTTCAATATGTTTCTATATTATAAAACCTTACACATTTTATCAAGTCATTTTCATGGGACACATATAAGATACACAAAAATGAGCAATAAAAATGACTAGGTTAAAATATTTATTGGGTAAATGGTACTATATGAAGTATTGAAAGGACTTAGAGAATATAAAAGTCTAAGTGTAGAGCTAGATTGATTTGAGTAAATAAATGAACAACAATTTTAGATTGATTAGAGGCATGGTCAATGCCATTAAAATATAATTTTTAAGAATAAAAAAAAAAGGTTTGCAAGGAGACATCAGAGATCCAATTAAAGTAATATTAATTCTAACACTGAACTCTTGTATATAAAAAAAAATCTTGAAAATGCTCATGATCTTCATGGTAGTAGGATCCTACTTGGATATACACATAATGTTGAGAGTTCACTATTGCTTATGCAACTGCTAATAGTACTATAGATTTGCATTTGCTATTGTTTTCACATCCATTTCTAAATTGATTTTCACAAGTCTCTGAGGTAGGTAAGGCATTCATTATGAACCTAATTTCATGATGAGGAAATAAGTACTTGTGTCTCTTCTCTTTCCACAAAACTACAATGTGTTTTATTGCTAAATGTGAAATTCTATCCTTAATGTCATTTTTTCTTCTATAACTGTGTACTTAATTCCTTATCAGGTCCTCAGTAATGGACTGAATCTTACAAGACTACTGTCTCAACTCCCTTACATTATAGATGAGTACATTGAAGAATAGAAATGTCAAATCAAGATCACTTTGCTAATCAGAGAGTATCCCTTTTACAGAACCAGCTGCAGCTTTGTGCTAGATATAACTTGAATCAGGATACAGTTGATTGATTTGTTTGACTTCTAAGTGTTACTTTTAGTTATCTCAAAACTATTTTATTTATTTTAAATATATATTTTTATTGATTTTAGAGAAAGGAAGGGAGAGGGATAGAGAGATAGAAGCATCCATGAGAGAGAAACATCATCAATCGGCTGCCTCCTGCACGCCCCCTACTGGGGATCCAGCCTGCAATTGGAGCATGTGCCCTGACAGGGAATGGAACCCAGGACCTCCTGGTTTATGGGTTGATGCTCAACCACTGAGCCACACCAGCCGGGCAGTTATCTCAATACTCTTAACACAACCGAGTTTCTAACATATGTAAGTTATCTTATCTTTTATTATAATAACCAAGGCCTTGGGAATCCTTCTAACAGGCTTTAAGTATTCTTGCCTTTTTTGTTTTTTCCATCCTGAGCTACATATTGTCATTTTTTAAAATATATTTTATTGATTTTTTACAGAGAGAACGAGAGAGGGATAGAGAGTTAGAAACATCGATGAGAGAGAAACATCGATCAGCTGCCTCTTGCGCACCTCCTACTGGGGATGTGCCTGCAACCAAGGTACATGCCCTTGATCGGAATCGAACCTGGGACTTTTCAGTCCGCAGTCTGACGCTCTATCCACCGAGCCAAACTGGTTAGGGCATGTCATTCTTAAAATTTTTTCAGCTATGATG